CATCCATCCATCCATCCATCCATCCATCCATCCATCCATCCATCCATCCTCTTTACCCGCTTCTTCCTTTTTTGGGTCACTGGTGCCCATATCCAGCAGTCACTGTGCGAGAGGCAGGGGACACCCTGGACAGGTTGCAAGTCCATCAGAGACGCATAGAGACAAATGAGACAAACAACCATTCACTCTCACTCTTCCACCTAGGGACAATTTAGAGTTACCAATCAGACTAACACATGTTTTTGGTCTGTGGGAGGAAAATCAGACTCTCCACAGACAACTCACATAGGGATACAACCTCCACACAGAACTGCACCAGACAGGATTTGAACATGCAACCTTTTTGCTGAGACAGCTTTAACCACTGGTTTGCCATGCAGCCAGTGGCGGGCTGTGCATTTTACACCTAGGTCTTCAGTGGTGTCCTACTTGAATTTACCCACCTCCTAATATTGTCATTATGACGCCACGGCTACAGAAATCATCAATAATGCACAGAAATGCGGTATCATATGGTGCTGCATCACAGACAAGTATCTCATGTATAACCATTACTAAAGCAAGAAACCCAATTACAACAATTCAACGTTTCCTTCAACTGCATCTACAGCTGTGCCACATACATAATTACCAAAAGCATCAATGCGGATGTAATAAACTGACAAAAAATAATAAAATGCATTTTGCTCACCAAGAGTTTTGATTATCTGTACACAAACTTTATCCTCCTTTATTTTCTCCGTCACAGTTCAGTTCTGGTCATCATGATGTTTGTTTCAACAATAAGTCCTTGTCTGTTGCCACAGAAGCTTACACTGAAAGTCGAATCTGTTCTGTTGCATTTCTGGCACAAGTTTTGATCTGCTTTAGAGTTGAAAATGTCCACTTGACTTTTGGCTTGTGCACTACAGGATGCTACAGATGCAGTTTTCAAGCACCGACCATCACGCTCTCTGATCGTCCAATCAAATGACGTGAAAATGCTGACATTGTCTAATGCCTGCTATAGCCCTGGTGTCACCAACCCAACATCTGATTTGTCAAAGCAGCAGTTTCATTTCCACTTGTTTTAACCTGCAGGTGCCTGCACTGTTGATTCTGAAGGCCTCGACCCTAGCAACAGATGCTTGTCAAAATATGATTGATAAGAGCTCTAAAAAACATACTGGAAGCTGCACAACCAGGAAAAATAAAAGCTCTGAAATGAAGAGAACAGACATTTCAGAATAATATTAATAAATACAGGTCCTTCTAAAAAAATTAGCATATTTTGATAAAGGTCATTATTTTACATAATGTAATGATAAAAATGAAACTTTCATATATTTCAGATTCATTGCACACCAACTGAAATATTTCAGGTCTTTAATTGTTTTAATACTGATGATTATGGCATACAGCTCATGAAAACCCAAAATGCCTGTCTCAAAAAATTAGCATATCATGAAAAGGTTCTCTAAACAAGCTATTAACCTAACCATCTGAATCAACGACGTAACTCTAAACACCTGCAAAAGATTTCTGAGGCTTTTAAAAACTCCCAGCCTTGTTCATTACTCAAAACCACAATCATGGGTAAGACTGCCGACCTGACTGCTGTCCAGAAGGCCATCATTGACACCCTCAAGCAAGAGGGTAAGACACAGAAAGAAATTGCTGAACGAATAGGCTGTTCCCAGAGTGCTGTATCAAGGCACCTCAGTGGGAAGTCTGTGGGAAGGGAAAAGTGTGGCAGAAAACGCTGCACAACGAGAAGAGGTGACCGGACCTTGAGGAGGATTGTGGAGAAGGGCCGATTCCAGACCTTGGGGGACCTGCGGATGCAGTGGACTGAGTCTGGAATAGAAACATCCAGAGCCACCGTGCACAGGCGTGTGCAAGAAATGAGCTACAGGTGCCACATTCCCCAGGTCAAGCCACTTTTGAACAAGAGACTGCGTCAGAAACATCTCGCCTGGGACTGCTGCTGAGTGGTCCAAAGTTATGTTCTCTGATTACAGTAAATTTTGCATTTCCTTTGGAAATCAAAGTCCCAGAGTCTGGAGGAAGAGAGGAGACACAGAATTCACATTGCTTGAGGTCCAGTGTCAAGTTTCCACAGTCACTGGGGTGTCATGTCATCTGCTGGTGTTGGTCCACTGTGTTTTATCAAGCGCAGGGTCAATGCAGCTAGCTATCTGGAGATTTTGGAGCACTTCATGCTTCCATCTGCTGAAAAGCTTTATGGAGATGAAGATTTCATTTTTCAGCACGACCTGGCACCTGCTCACTGTGCCAAAACCACTGGTAAATGGTTTACTGACCATGGTATTACTGTGCTCAATTGGCCTGCCAACTCTCCTGACCTGAACCCCATAGAGAACCTGTGGGATATTGTGAAGAGAAAGTTGAGAGACGCAAGACCCAACACTCTGGATGAGCTTAAGGCCGCTATCGAAGCATCCTGGGCCTCCATAACACCTCAGCAGTGCCACAGGCTGATTGCCTCCATGCCACGCAGCATTGAAGCAGTCATTCATGCAAAAGGATTCTCGACCAAGTATTGAGTGCATAACTGAACATGATTATTTGAAGGTTGGTGTTTTTTGTATTAAAAACACTTGTCTTTTATTGGTGGGATGAAATATGCTAATTTTTTGGGACAGGCATTTTGGGTTTTCATGAGCTGTATGCCATAATCATCAGTATTAAAACAATTAAAGACCTGAAATATTTCAGTTGGTGTGCAATGAATCTGAAATATATGAAAGTTTCATTTTTATCATTACATTATGGAAAATAATGACCTTTATCACAAT